GTGAAAACCAGTGGGTCTTCGCTCTACCACTAAGCCCAATACCAAAAGAATATATTAAAATGGTTTCAACCCCCGAATATATGGTGGAATTACCTGCACCTTCCACCAGTTCTGTTTGCCCTTGACATGAGACGTAGCCCGGCTCCAAGACGACTCTAATTACTTGTTTTCTTTGGGTTCAAGGTTTGGAATTGAACAGCTAGGCTAAGTCCAGCGTGTTGGGAAGTCTGGACACGTAGATCTACATGGATTCCCGATGGCCTCCGATGCCCCCCCCCCCAGACAGGCAGGCCCGACTGCACTCCTCCAGCCCCCCACCCTCCCCTCAGATATGACCTCCACAGACTCTCCCCTCAGACCTGCTGAGTTTCCCATAAAGCCCTGAGGCTCTTCTCTTCCTCTCCTCCTCTGCTCGCCACGGCACAGAGCTCAATCCTTTGTCTACAATCGTCTGTTTATAGCTTCACACAGCAACATTCTGCCTCTTTACTTCAATCGTGAAATATATCTTGAAATGTTTTGCACATGGTTTCTCTAAAGAGAAGTCATTTGTCTATTAAATTTCAACCACTACTGATGTCAGGAAAGGTTCCAAAGGAATGGAAGGTTCATTGAACAAGTGTGAATAAAACAATTAATCGCAACTGTATTTCGAAATTTGTTTCATCAACTGCTGTACATACGCAATATCAAAGCAGATAAATGAGAACATTTCAGTTCCCATTCACTTCATTTGCAAGTTTTTTGAACGCGTGCCCTTTCAGCAGACTCCTCCCTTTCAGAAGTATGTAACTCTTGTAAAGCTGAGTAGATCTTCCACTGGGCCCACAAAAAGACCAGCTTGTTCCACAGCTCACCAGCGATGCTTCCCAGAGACTCCAGCTGGCAATATCAGTTCCAGTCCTTCAAAAAGCAATCGGAATTCCAGAATGTGCCCGTCATTAATTCAGCTACTAACTTGTAATGAAGTTCTGTGGCACATAAGGTCAAGCAGACCAGGACAAAAATAGAGAAGCGCAAACCGCTGTGGAGCTCGGTGGAGAAAGCTTGCATTGACCTATAAATAAACGACCAAACCTGATAATCTGAATTGTACACAAATATACACACACACGTGCACACACACTCACACTCACACACACACAAACAAAGGTCTCCCCGATAAGAGAAGAGGAAAGACCCTTATGAGTGCAGCACTCTGATGGGGGGGGGTCTGCCGGATTGCCGCAGTGCCCCCACCCTCACGCTTCCTGCTTAACTCAGACCCCTCACAGGACCCCGACATACTTGTAGCAGTGAATCATTCAAACCCGGGTATCTATTTTAAATGCAATTAGGGTGCCCAGTTGGCTGACCTGCATTAAAAGACAGCAAGCTGAAGGGATGCCTTACCCCCCCCCCATCCTTCTGCACCCCACCCCCAGTGACAAAGGGGTCAGGGGGCCACATTCTGTCAGAGGGAAAGCATGGAGTCACTGGGGCTGGTCGGCAGCCCGCCGCCATAGGGGCTCAGTGTTCAGCTGGGGTCTCCATTGCGGCCAGAGTGTGTGTGTGTGTGTGTGTGTGTGTGTGTGTGTGTGTGTGTATGGGGGTGAGGGTTATGTAAAATTACAAAAACTACGTATAGTTTGAGTTAGGGCTGAATAGGCGTTAAGTTATTGTGATTGTTGGGATTAGGGTTATGCCCAGAGATATGAATGGACAGTTCCCATTATGATAGGAGAACATGAACTGTGCATGTGAAGATAATGCACTGTACTCCAAACTGTGTCCCTCCCTGCACTGCAGAGTTCTGCTGCTCTGAGTGTGGGCTTGTTTATTTGTTTGCCTGGCCATATGGGGATAACTTTTTGCTAACTTGTGAAGTTGTGAAGCTGTGAAAACAGACGTTACTGGAATGTTAAAACACGTTTTTATCTGCCTTGAATTCCAGTTTTAGGAATTTTCATCAGCTTTTGGAGTTTGAGGCTAGGGGCCGTTACATCAAAACGGCAAGTTCCCTCGTGGACAGCTATGCACTGCATGCATACGTGTGCACATACACGCATGTGTATGCTTACCTCGCCCCGTGTGACATGCAGTGAGCGACCTGAGAGCCACCAAACTGAGCCACGCTCTGCTCAAGCCTGATCTGCAAGCTCCTTCCTCTTTAGATGCTTTAGATAGAGAGGAACTGAGCGACTATCAGGAGGAGTCCCAGACAAACACTGCAGACTTACAGTGAGCCTTAAACCACTCACACACTCAGCACATCCCAGCCTATCCCAGTGGCCCTTGTTGTGCAGAGTTGCTCTGGCTGCTGTTTCATGTTAGTGGTCCCAGAGGTGTTCTATCCTGGAGGTGAATTCAGAGGGGGCTCGCCACAAGGTCCAGCTGGGGGGAGGGGGAGGGGGAGGCTAGGTGCTCTGAGAGCGTGGGACTTGGAGACCACTGAGTGTGGAGTCACTTCCTTCCACACCGTCAACACTACTGGGGAGTTCAGGCACTAAGAGCCACAGAGGAATCACCCCCCTGCCCCCCGTTGGAGTTTGAGGTTGGAATATTCCACTGACTCAAGATTCCAAAGCCACTTCGATGCCAAAACAGAACTCCTTCGACATCCTACAAGACACCCGCCACAGGAAGCAGTCTCCTTCTCCTTGGATTCCTCACATTTTTTCCCCTGCAGCCAACCCCATTTTTAGCAAATTGCCCGAGCCGGTTCCCATGCCTCAGAGATCTTTAAAAAGATCAGTTCACTTGGTTCCAACAAGGTTTCTGCAGCTTAACAGGACATGCAGGTTGTGTGCTTGTGGATCAAACGGTGGTGCAGGGCAACACAAGCACAAGGCATGAAGTTTCCCATGAAAGAAGCCCAGCACAAAAAAGCACCAGAATTATATAATTGCCCTCATCAGCAAGGCTTAACACTTTTAGCAATTAGACGCATATGTGCTGTTTGAAGCCTTTGAAGGTTACAAAACAACAACCATTTTAGCAGCAATGTCAGCGAGCAGGCGGTTTTTTTACGCAGAAAATGGAGTCGTTTGAAGGTACAATGCCTCTCCCCTTGCTGATTTTTCCTGGAGAACAACAAGCACAGCGCCATCTAGCTGTCAGGAATGGTCACAGTTTCATAACGAGTTAGCTGGGTCACGGCACATCAAAGCACACTTCAATGGTCAATTTGTTTGCCAGGGGTTCTGAAGGCATCTGGACCATGATCCCCTCATTTACTCTCCAGACCTTTATTTGATTCTAATTTGGAAGAAATTGAAAGAAACTGGAAAGCAATAATAATTACTGCACCAGTCCCTGATGACCACAGGATGGCCATAAATTGCTTATTTGCAGCAATCAGCAATCAGACACCAGAGCCAGGTGCTGATAGAATTGTAGGCGGCCATACAATCATGGCCTAAGTTAAATTTCCCAGTGCATTTTGACACTGCTGAGTAAAATAAGGCCTAAGTGCAGGTGTTTCCACACGGCATTACAGGTACTTATGTACGTTATAGGGATTTGCTGTAAGGACTTCACAGTAGATAACAGAGGCCCCCCCGAAAAACTCAGCATCAGACACCTTTCATCAGAGATAAGTAATGTTTATCAAATCAAAAGAGAACAATTTCAATCCCTGTCCATTTTTTCCTGGTCTTTACCTAAACTGATCTATGTCAACTAATCAGACCCCTGATGCTACTATCCTCCAAACCAGAATTCGCAGCTACAGTTGGTTGTAAAGCTAATAACTGTTAAATCCATTAAAAGCCTCCAGGGAGACAGACAGACACACACACACACAACTGATTATAGCTGTGCTTTTAATTACTCTTTGTGGGTTCCCATAGCACGGGGAATGAGAGATAGGACCAGTAATGAAGGCATGTCAGAAAGGTTTGCACAGCACTTACTTAGCCAAGTGAGAGTCGGGTGAGAGGTGTAACACTCATTTAATACCATCTTAATCCCAGTGAGATTACTGCATGGTGATCTTGCTGGGATTATCTCCTATCTCATAAAAATGCATGTTGCCTTTGACCCTTCCATTGCAGACAAGACGCCCCCCCCCCCTGCCCCAAGCAAGCAAAGCGTGTGAGAGCAGGAAGACACTCTCCATTACAGTAAGGGGGAGTCACTATCTGGTATAAACTGATGACATTCACTTCAGTCAGACGTGGAAGGTTGTGGAGAACTGCCCATTTGGGGTTTGGAGGCCGGGGAACAGATAAGCCAGGACCTCAAGTGGGTTCATGAAAAGGCGCTGGTTCCTAGGTCATCTCAACCAGGATCTTTTATACTTCTTTGCCACTTTCATGTGTCACGTTCCCACCAGTCAACAGGATCTGTGATCTTTAAGCTAAATAAACACGGGAGACGCAAACGGATCGTAGGTTAAAGGTAACACATGAACTCATACGAAACTACGCTACCACTCCAAAACAACGACCAAAGGCTAAGAGCTAAAGCAAGCCTTGGCCTTTTCATGGGAACGTCAACTTAAAACTAGGGGGACACAGAGAGCAGAAGGAGAACAAGAAAGAGACGTCCTGACGTCTCACAGGTCAGCTGGAGGTCGGCCCCTTCAAAAACCTCAAAATTTACCAAGAAAACGGTCAAGCCCACTTTCCAAACAGGATAACTGGCTGCAAATGAACCACCAAAATGACAAACTAACTGGGGTTTGAAGACCAGCTTGTGTTTAACAACAAATCCATTTCCATCATCTGCCCGCATTGCTACATCTATCCTGGAATTGGTTGGGAAAATTCCTCATTTACTTTCCTTTTATCTTTCCCCGCATGCTGATGAAGAGCCATTGGCTGAAGTCCCCTGCCGCAGAGTGACTGGAAGAAACCACACTCTAATGTCTTACACAATCAGCCTCCTCTGGAGAAGGTAACCAGCAATGCATAACAATCGCTGATCGCCATACCTACACAGGCCTACCCCCCCCCCACATCAAAGACATTTCTTTGCATCTTCCTCATGACACCACCCCCCCACCATCGTACACTTACCTCGTCGAAGCCACTGTCCTCTTTCTTGAAGGCTTGAAAAAGGAAAGAAAAGGACCAAGACTGCAGTTAGGTTTAGCAAAGGATTTATAAATAAAATCAGAGACGTCTGCTCAGGTAACTCCTGCAGCAGCTAACTATCTCCTGACTGTAACCATAAATAATCCATTTGCAGAATTCAAGACCCCCCACCCCTCCATGTCACAGATCTCAGCGTGAAGGTCTGGAGGCCAGCACATGGTACGTGAAGGATCACGGCGGGGGGGTGCCAGCTCCGCCAATGACCTTCAAGCCTTCACGTTAGCCAACATTTACAGCAGCAACATTCGGGAAGGTCAAAGAGGATTTCATTGGAGAGCCGTTATATATTTCCAGAAAAGTGCAAAAAATTAACAAATCACTTCACAGAATTTATTTTTTAAGTAATAATTTTATCCTCAAATTGTCACTAGCATTTGTCTCTTGGCTTTCATTGGTCACATGACTGATTTCACTGTCCGAAACAAACTCAATGTAACCAATTGCTGGAACCAATCACAGGGTGAACCCTGTTTGATAAAGCTAAGCATAAAATGAATGAAATTGCATACAGGTGCATATTACAAAATAAAGACCAATAGTTCTAATAAAGGGTTCAGAAGAAAACTGCAAATCATGTGGCTGCAACTGTGAACAGCAACAGACAGAGTCAAGAGGTTCACTTACTGCTCAGCTAAGCATTATAACGGCTCAGGTGCACGACCAAAGTGATTCTGAATGTGCTGTGCTTGGTCCAGACGTGTAACTCAAGCACCTCAGACAAAGTCGGTTCCCTGGGATCACAAATCACTTTTTTTTGTCACATGACTAGAATGAGTCAACTAGTGAGTGAAAGTGTTGGGTGAGGAGTTTCCCATCAGCAGTGCAGTACATTAAATATACATAAAATAACTGTACAGTTGTTTTACAGTGTCTGGCAGTTACAGGGAATGGTGCAGTAAACAAAAAGACCTCCATTCTGCAACAGTACTGGGGACAAAAGACCTTGCTAGAGAGCAGAGGTCAGAGGTAAATGACCAGACTAGTTAAGGAGAACAGGACAGTCACAAGTGCATAACAGCTCAGAACAAGAGTGGTATGCAAAAAAAAAGGCTTCGCAGAACCAAACAAACTTGTTTACCTTTGATGTGGTTCTGGAAGCAAAAATGGGTCCTACCCAGAACCAACTAGATGAGCCCAATAAAGTGGGCACTGGATGTGTTTCTGACACCACATATAATTACCAAATAAGCCAGACAAGGTTTTGTTTTCTCCGAAACTGCTTTTGAAAATGTTTTGTAATCCCAAGCATGAATTCTTTATCATTGCCAAAAGGGCAACGGACTACATGAGCATGTTCACAGGCTTTAGTATATGCGGCGATCAAACACATATTATACATATCTCCCTTTCATAAAAGCGTGTCGTTTGTCTGAAACTGCTGTCACGTGACCAGTGTCCACCCCCTTGTGTGAAATTATCTATAATCCGCGTATACATCGTAACGATTAAGGGATCAGGAAGGTTCGTATCATAGAAAGCAATCACTCTGCTGCGTCCTTGAGAAAAAAGAATTAAGGTAAATTGCCTATAAAATACGCCTATCCTGTTGTAGGGATACGTAAAACTTTAAGCTCTATAGTAATCACCCACACACACACTATAATTATCACTGCATTTAATACAATAAACGGCATTTTAACCCGCAAAAGATGTCAGCAAGGTTATTTTTCCGTATATTTATGAATCAAAGAAAATGTCAATGGTTCAATTCATATTTTGAAGAACATAATTTTTATTGTTCAAACATATATTAAGTCTATGCCTGTCTGGCCCCAAGTAACAGCATTTCATCAGGTTATTAATTAAAACTTCGAGGAAAATTCATTATGTCTAACACCATGAAAACCTTTGCCAATAGCGTGAAATTCGTTTGAAAGAAAACTACAAACAATCATTTGTCATTCTGACATTATAATGAGAAAGTCACTAGCTTTGAGTATAATTCGTTTTTCCAATATAATCTGTGTTTGCCATTCAAGACAAAAAAAAACTATTAAAAAGTCAATGTGAAGAAGTAAATTCGTTATAAAAGAGATTTCAACTTTTGAATGACGTGATGGTCTTTGTTTAATGATCCTTGTAAGACGGACAGTGACCGAAACTGTGAGCATCTAGTCCGGAGTGAAACACTCATCCAGGCCAGTAAACGACAAATAATCCGGCAAAACAGCATCCGCTTCTCCGACTTCTGTAGATACCTACAGCTGTTTCACTTCTGCTTTTATAAAATGATATAATCTTTAAAAGTAGCTGTGCAAGATGAGTTTCGTATTCTGACAATGGGGTGGGGTCTTACAAATAAAAAGCGGTTCTGCACGGCCTTTCTGTCTTAATGTAAGCGTACTTCTGCTGTACACATGTTTAACCTTTCCAATACTTGTAAAAATTCATTTGTATTTTAAAACATAAAGATGTCGATAATATAAAACTAAACTGACGTGCCGTTTATCAGCATTTTTACTATTAACACGCAAATACAGCACATTTATAATCTCACTGACTTTTGTTTTGATATCTAAATAATAAATCTGTTTTACTCAATTGAACCTTAAAAACCCACATTTATTGACTTCATGCTGAAATTTCTGACCACACGAATACCCCAGGAATCGGAATATATCCTGGTCAATTACTTAATCTATAGGCATCTACAGTGACGCCCAGTGGTTAAAATGAACTTCACTGGAAATTTTTGAAATTACAGGTAAGTATTTTATAATATTGGAATTCCTTGTTCGGAGATGGTTCCCAAGAGCAGTTTGTCTTTTGCTTAGTGGAAATGCTTCCAGCATCCACTCCCTTCCCATTAACACAGTGAACACTGCGTTTTACACACCGTGAGCGGCGTTTCACGGATCTGCCCGTGTCCCACAGCAGTCACCAGAACCATGGTCCCCCCCCCCGTCTTAAAGCGGCTTCACTTACCGATGCGGCTGAAACTCTCCGACAAAGTTCTCCGCAACTTTTTCATTTTACCGATTTTTTCCGTGGGTTGCGAGGCCGGCATCAAGTCGCACATGTCGCCGTGAAAAACGGAAAAGTGAAGAAATCCTTTTGAAAATGACCGACGGTCGCTGTCTGAGACGCGGGGTTTTCTGTTGATATTTTTTCGTCACGCTGTCAAGCACAGGAAACGTGTTCGGCTCCGCTTTCTCACAGGCGCATTTCTATATGATGTTGGGTAACGTGCCAAAGGGCTTCATCTCCGGAGCAAGATCGCTTTCCCGGCGTATTGCACAGTGCGGGAAAAAAACGAAAAACAAGAGGATAAAAGTGTGGCCGTGGATGGAGACTGTGGCCACAGGCTCCGACCGCTTTCTCCCCGATCGCTATGTGGATGTCACTTTTGGGATCCTCTTCTACTGGTGGAGGAGAGAGAAGAGGGAAAAAAATCCACCCCCCAACAAATCCCACCCCTCGTTGCTCACGGATTGGACGAAGTGAGATAGTCTAGGCGGTGATTAATCGCCGGGCTTTTCTGTCACTTTGTGTCGGCCGTTTGCTACGTTTTTGGGCATCATTCAGATAATATGCTCACATTATTAGATAGAAAGTTTCCTACTGACAGTTGATTGCGCTTCTGGAGAGGAAATGAGGGGCATTGTATGGGTCTTTGCCCTGTTGTTCAGAATATCCGTAAAATTACTACTAGGCCTATACTAAATTGGCATAAATTGCATAAAATCATCACTCTTTAATTTACGCATATTATACTTAAATACTCATGGTGCGGTTGTATTTAATGGTAGATTTAATGGCAAATAGGCAATTGGAGGGAAATTAGGCCTATATGTTAATTATATGGCTGGGTGGACTACCCCCTGACGGATAGCGGGATTTACTGATTGACGGACTGCATAAAATAAAGCACGTCTCCTGAGTGACTCGTGATTTATGGGTTTAGCGCTCGGGGGCGGCAGAGACGTGCCGGGGAGGGATGGAGGTATGCGCTGCTATCCCACAGAGACCCGGTACTCAGTATAGACTCGGATGTCTAAATTAGCCTATTAAACATACGGCATCTTAAGAAACATTATATATCATTTCATAACAGCGTGGATCCTCTCTGTATTTTAATTGTTTTATTAATAAATGAGTTTGCGTCAGAATGTGTATAATCGTTTCCGTCAAAACCGGAGATTAATGATAAAATCAAAAGAGGAAGTACACTCTGTAAGTATATAAATTACACTGAAAGCATAAACACAGCTATCCTGTTTAATCAAGCTTCATTAAGCTAATCTAGGCCTATAGGCTCCTTGTAGTATTTATGTTGGGTGGTGACCTTCTGAAAAACCGGACCTATTAAATAAGTGACTTAAGTAACAGCATCGTGTCTGAAAAGTCCCACGGATGAAGCACTCGGGGATTTTCACGAACAATCTGCAGAGTTCAGCGTAACTGCAGAGACTGCTGATATTATCAATACAATGCAGTGTTTATTTAGGATAATTTCTGCTTGAGAAACGGCATGTGTGTTTTTGATTTGCAACAATAACGTCGCCAGGAAAAGTACGTGTGGAGGAAGTGCAAAAAGAGAAGTCAAATGTCACAGATATGCACAGATGCATATTTCCAGCGTGCGATATGCCGGACATCAGCTGCACTAAGCAGGCTCGTTATTCAAGATTAACTTCGGCATTAAAATGAATCGCAGCCTAGGACAAGCCCAGTTTCACAGCGTTGTGCGGCTACATAGAACCCGTTTAACAAGATAAGCACTGAATTCCAATGTATTCATTGCTGGTTAAAATGAGCCGCAAAGCAAGAGCAGGCAGGCTTAACAATCGGCAAGGAACCCGCCCTATAGTCTTTGGATGGTTAGGTTATGCATCTCATAAATTGGCTAAAATTTCCCATGCACTAGAGGCCGCTTAGAGTCACGCAACAAAATGTTGTTTTTTTTTAATGATCGAATGTTGGGCTATTGCCGTGTATTTCTGTGCAGGACACAGGGAACCGACCGGGAGCATGAACTCTCCGGCGGCTTTTAGAATAGTCTTTCTTAACAGCTAAGGATTGTGCTGTTAGAATCGTATTACAAATGTAATCAAGGAAGAGACAGAGAGCTGGGTGTCCAGATGAAAGTGTTATCAAGCAGCATCGGGGGCACACACTCACGCGGGACCGGCCCCCAGGGATGCTGGCACCGGACTGGGTCATCCGCTGGTCATCACAGCAACTCACTACTTCATCTTTACGTGAGGAGGAGGAGCCGCTTCCCCGCGGGGAAAATCACGTACATAGCGTCACTCGTTAAATTTGTTACTTCGAAGACATTCCAAATAAAAATAATTCATATCGAACGGGTTTATCGATGTTATTGATGATTTCAGAAGTAAAACCCAAGAGCACTTCTCGGAAAGTACGGCTTTAACCACAACACCACCAGAATTTTTATATTCCTCATTTAATTCTTCTGCCGTCTGCGTTTTTCATTTGTGATGTGACCCAAATTCCTATACCAATTAAAAGAAGCAGAGGCTGCAAGGTTGTTGGACAAAAGCGAAGATTATCATGCGTGCTGGAGATACAGCGTCTGTAAATCCAACGCAAAGGTTTCCTTTTTTTTTATTAAAAATAAGCATTGTAAAAGCTGGAAGAGGTTTATGATCACTCTGAAGCACGATGAGGGAAGCAGAGATGCACGATTTTACACTATTACACTATGCGTCAAGTGTAGAATTTGTACAAAAAGGCTTTTTTTTTAACAATGAAACTTGATGAAAAATCAGTACATGTGGCTAGAGTTCTTACAGTACCTGAACGTTCACACACAGAATTAGGGGGGGGCAGTGTCACATTAACTACTGAAGAACAAGCCAGGTAGGAGCCTGATCTCTTTGCTCGAAGGAACTTTACGGGGTCGATTCTCAACTGCTCTGAAATAGTTTCCCTAACTAATCATGATCATTCCGCATTATGTAGCTTGGTTTGAAGAACATGACATGCATGCTAGAAAAACTGACATCCATCAGAAGTAAATATTAGAAGGATTCAGCGAGTAACTAAAGTGAGTGGAACATGGCTGAGCATGAAGAGAACAGCTTCATCAGAAGGGACAGCGTGGGCTGGGACCGTCTAGTCATTCTCGAACTTGCTGTAGGGGTGGTCAGAGTCAGGGATGAGGCCTGGAAGAAAGAAAAAAAAAATGCATTAGAGTTGAATGGGGGGGGGGAGAAAATCCAGAACTAAGGACTATGGAGGACTGGTAGGCAGTGAAGTGTTAAACTTGCGCAGTCAGTATCATACAGCATGACAACACAACCACAGGGACAGGGCATTGGGGCGGGGGGGCGAGTTCTGCGCCTTCTCAGCGCATCGGGCTTCCAAGAAGCGTGAGCGATACCAGTGGGTGACAGATCATGCCCAGGAGAGGCGTCAGAGCTGCACGCGGCCCACATCTGGGCCAGGAGTCATTCATGGAGACTCATTCATCTCCATGCGTGTCCAGCGGGCCTCAGGGGGCCTCAGGGGGCGCACGGACAGCACGGGTACGCCCTGCACTGCACCAAAAGGAGGGGCACCTTCACACGGAGACGCCGCTGATCACGGCCGGGGGGGGGAGGGTGTCTCCTTCACCGGCCTGTCAAAGAAGCCTGGCCGGCTTGAGAAATGCACACCGCACCTCGAGGCACAAACTGTGCTGAGCGAGCAGAAAAATAAAGCAGATATTGGGGGGAGGGGGGCTCCACATTCATCGATCAAGACGTCACGCTGTCCGGGCGAAAACGGCGGCACCGGCCAGCACCTGGGGACATGGTAATGCGCGCGACTGTCCTGCCACCATTATCCCTCCCGTCACGCCGGGCTGCACGTGGCGCGGCGGGATTAACGACTGACTCTGACGCCAGGCAACCAGATGCAGCCGTCTTCCACGTCAGACTGCAAAGGCCGAATGTCAGGGACGAGAACTTAAAGCAAAATAAATGCCAACACAAAAAAAATATCGCAAATCTTTCCTGGTGCATTAAAGTATCCCGGTCCGGCTCGTTAGCTGCGGCTGCATCTCGGCAGAGCTGTAATTAGTCATTAGGCATCACAGCCAGGAGTCCCAAGGGAGCCGTCCCCCTCCCCCACGCCGGGCGCTCATAACCCCGCCAACCCTGGCCGTCCACGAGGAGGCTGGTCAGCACCATCGACGAAATGTCCGGCGAGCTACATCAAACACCAGTTTTTATCAGACGGTACTGTTCTGCTTAGCTTTCTAAAAAAATCTATGTTTTCAATTGTTCTACAAATCAATACCTCAAACATTACCGCTCAATGCTCTCCCTGGCCCCCTCCAGCGTCTAATCGCAACTTAATCCTTCTTACAGTTGAGATAAATTGCCCCTCAGCCACGGTTTGGCAGACTGCGGTATATTCACATGGAACCGTGGGGGTCTGACTGGACAAACGCCCAGCTGGCCCCATTGACCGGTCTGGCTTTAGCTTCAGAACATACTGAAGCTGGCTCAGTACAGCTGCAGAGCAAAGTTGAGGGAGCAGCTCAATTGTACGCTTTCCTCTGAAAATCAAGACTGCAGTTTGCATCCTGACTTCCCCACCCTTCCACAAACCCCCCCAGAGAGAAAGTAGGGGAGACACAGTCAGTTTCTACAGAGTTGACTATGTATCTGCTGTTTTTTTTTTATTATCCAAACACATTCCACCGGTTGAGCCATTAATCGACGTACCACACCCCAAACTCGAACTTGTCCATATCTGCAATTTCTTCATCTGACTGGGTTAGACCAAGAAAGGAGAAAAGGTTTCTTATCATTGTTTCTCCTCAGAATTCCTCTCCTACAGAGATGCAGGCAAGCTGACATTTCAGTCCAAATGTCAGTCGGAGGGCAGCAGCCCCATGGGGGCATAGTGACCCGTGGTCATGTGGTTCGACACACACCTGTATCACCAGGAACGACAGGCCACCTGGGCCACGACCAGACCGTCCTGCAGCTTTCGCAGTCGGGCCCTGCTCTACTCTACGGCCCAAACTCAGGAGCTTGAATCATCTATGAGGAGCATGAAGCCCTAACTTCCACCTACCGTTCTTCATCAAATGAGTATATGCGATAAACTATAAGAAGATGTTCAGTGCAAAAGTGACGTCAGTCAACTGTGTTGAAGCCCCCCCCCCCGTCAAAATGGTGTTTTTCTACCCAAACAGAAAGAGCATTTTCTAGCCACACCTCATTCTCAGGACAGTATTTGGAATATGCGGGGTGATCAATCCAGCAGGGCAGTATAAACACACCAACAATGCAAATCTTCCCTCTCACCATGCGAATACAGATTAGGTGTGACAACGGTGACACCCGCAGTGTGACCCGGCCTGCATGTTTGTTTACTTCACTATGAATGCAGG